TCAGATCAAGAGGACATGGTTCCATAGCCCGATCCGCAAGAAAATTGCGAATAGATGCTAGATACTTTATATTTTCCTTTACTTTTCTCATTTCTCGTGTTTCATTCAGAGAATTCATTCCTTAATATTTGTTTAGTACTTTTAAGTTATTGTGTAAGGAATGTAAACCTTAACCTTTTATTTTACTTATGCACTTAAATTATTATATATTTTATTTTAGATTTCTGGGTTCGTTACAGGTTGAGGATGAAATTAAAAATAATTTTGAAAAAAATGAGTGAAAATTTGGGGTCAGATGATGTTTTTGAATGAAAAATTAAAAATTGGGGGTCAAAATATAATTAAAAAAATTACACCATGTAGGACTGCCCAGTCAGTAGTTCCGACGAACCGAAACGTGCCGCATGGCAAAGCATTCTGATTCGGTGCCACGTAGGAGGCCACGCTAGTAATTCGCGTGCCTGCAATTGGATGGCCCAGAAGCGTTCCCGTGCTCGTGGACAGTCCGGATCCGTTCCCTTCTCAGGCTCGATCAGACAGTCGCAATTAAACACGATGAACGATCTAGATTCGTTCTCTCTTTAAATGTAATCGAATGGTCAAGATCAAATCGCGATGAACGGTCCAGATTTATTTTTTCTTTAAATACGATCGGATGGTCGAGATCAAACGCGATGAACAGTCCAAATTTAAGTGAGACGGGTATAAATATCTCGCATCACACTAAACTTAAACCCTAGCCGACAGCCTCCTATTGGAGAAGAAGAACCAGTTACCGGATAAGCGAGCCAAATGTCGTCCACCACAGCGCCAGAGCCACCTCTGACTGCCAAAAAAGGTAAAAATTCTTTTATCCACTCAGAATTTGATTCCGAGCACCCCTATGGCCAAATCAGAGCAAAAGAAACGACAGATGAGTCGAAAACTGCGGATAAAACACGAAACTACCTCTGATGAGCCCCTTCTCATTTTCTATTTCGTACAATTTTTTCACAATTGTGTTCACAGTTCTATTTTCTACAAGTTGACTAAAGAAAAACTCTCAGTCGTAAAGGTGAGCCGGCGAAGCCGCCACACCGAAAAATCTCGTCGCTGGTAGATTTTTATTTTTTAATATTTTTTGGCTAACCGATGCTCCCTAACCTGTTCTCTCACAGGAATGGGTATAAAATTGACTGAAACTGGCAAAAACTGTCTAAAAACGGCCAAACTGAGGTAAATCGCTACCGTGGGCGGCGGTGCCGTCGTGCTAGAATTCTGAAATTGGTCGAAAAAGATTTTTAACACCGATTTTGAATTTTTTAGGGGTATTTTTAAGTACATGAAGCGTGTTTTAATCTCCGCATAAAAATTCAAGAAACCTAGGGACCGCCAGTAAGTGCAGTAAAAAGTTCGGTATTTTGGACATCAATTTGGGTAAGAATCTCTCATCTTATTCTTTGTTATGGAATTGAAACTTAATAATCGGTAATATGGTATTTTGTATAATTTAAAAAATTTTGAGAAAAATTACAGGTTACCAATGGAGCCGGAAATTGGTTAGTCATTTATTTGTTATCTTGTTTAACTGATGGTTGAATTTACAGTTTTAAATACATGATGATGTACTGGAATGCTTAATTGATTCAATTGTGTTTTCTTGATATATATATTGCTTGTCTTGTGTGATTTACGGTTAATTTGTGAAATTGGTAATTAATATGCAGACAGAGAATTGATCAGTCATGTGAATTAACGAATGGTAGCCTCACTGGATATCCTGAGAGATGGTGGACGGACCGGGTACATAAAAAATCCTACCATGAACGTTGCCTCATACCGGATTGGGTATCAAGTATTGACATTTTTTGCGCTCATACCGGACGGGGTATAGGGATGGCTTAGATTCACCATCATACCGGACGGGGTATTGAGGAATAATATTTTTTGCACTCATATCAGACGGGGTATAGAAACGGCCAGTTAGTTGACAATGTTGAATATTGTTTCACATGTAGTGAGACATTCTTATGGGCCCCTAGGGATATCAGTAGACAAATAAAAAAGAAAAGTAGTTGCTATTGCTCACTTGAAAATGAGATTGAAATATTATTTGAAATATTGTATCTCTATAAGTCTATTTTAAAAATCTCGTAATAGTAAATATATGCAATAAATGATTTTTTCTTATGATAAATGAATTTACTTAAATCAAGAACTTCATTAGTTATTTTTATGATTTTTACCAACTTTCAGTTTCTTTATCGGTGAGTAGTATGATATTTTTATCAGGTTAGTGTAGCTCACTCTTTCATTAACTATTTCAAATCAAGAGGACCAAGACTCAGATCCTGATCAACAAGAGGGTTGTGAATAGTTCACCACCCGGACTTCCTTCAAAAATTAGTGAAGGTCGTCCTAGAATACTTAGTTATTGACTTTTTGTTTATTTTTTTTATTTTCGTAATTTCTTTTAGAATGATCATTCTCGTACTCCTATTGGGTATTCTAAATTATTGTGTAAGGAATATAAACCCTAAATTTTATTATTTCGCTTTCGCATTTAATTAATGACTTTATTTTCTTTTAAGTTCTGGGCCTTTACATAGAATTTTTTCAAGATTTGTAGTCATAACCTTCTAAAAAACATAGTAATAAAAATATTCTCAAGTCAATTTTTACATATCAAAATTACTTATTTCGTGATATAATTTTAAAATATATTATTTGATAATAGTGCAATGTACTAAAATTTTAGTCTTTTATATAAATATTAAACCTATATTATTTAAAATTTAAGTGTAATGTAGTAGTAAATTTTATTAAAATTTATTTTTGATGATGCTTAGCTAAAGAGTGTGGCAAGTGGTAAATATTTATGGTTGATGATGTTTAAATAATTAAAATAATAATTTAGTTTTTGTGTAATTTATTTTCATTCAAATTAGTTTCTGTTTCTATTATAATTCAAATTAATTTTTATACTTTTAAAAAGCTTTCAATTTAATTCTCATTGTGATTAACTATTAAAATAGTTAATTTACGTAACACGTATCAAATTTATTGACACATGACACCATTCGATTGATCTGACTATAAGTTAAATATTATATTAGATACTATATTGAAACTTAAGTACTAAAAATTTATAAGATTGAAGCAAAATTTGGTGCATCTTTTCGCAGTCCTTCAAAAGACATACATATATAATATTTCAACATAGTCATGTTTTTTTTCCTCATCCTTAGAACTAGTTATTTCTACCACTGTTGGTGAGGTATTGCTTAATAAATCTCTTCGCATCTTTGCCCATGTAATATACAAGATGACATCTATAAAAATCTCATTATGTCATAATAATACAATTCAAATTGTAGAGTGGCATCCCTAAAAGTACGATCTTTAGTTCTGTAGCTTGGGGCAACCCTCGAGCACATATGTCAACCCCATAATTTTTTTTTTTTTTAGTAAAAGCTATTAGTAGAGTCCACACTAATTTCTCTTATTTTCTAATGCAATTGAAAGTTTGATAAGTTGGTAAATTAGATAGAGCAAGTCGAGTGAGTTTTTTGCAATTTATAATAATAGTTTCGAATCTTTCATTTGCAGTTCAGTATTTTTTTTTTTACTTTATGCCAACTCAAAAGAGGACGGGAAGAAGAAGAATAAAACAAAGTAGGAGATGTTTTGAGAATTTAGGAAAATTAAGGTTTAGAGATTTTAATAGATATATATTTTTTAAAAAATTTGTAGATTAATTTAACATAATCAACATGTAATTTTTTTTAAATGTCAAAGTAATATATAATATAACATAATATTCAATTTATAAATAAATTAATAAAAAAATATCACATGTTAATAAATTTAATTAATAATATTTAAATTAATGGTGTTATCTGTTAATAATTTGAATAAAAATAAAGATAAAAATTAATTTGGAGAAAAATAAATAATAGATGTAACAAATTGTTATTTTCGCAATGATTAAATGTAATGGCAGTTGGCAAGTGGCAGATGTTGGTTAGTTTGGTTATTGATGCGGCCAAAGGATATATTTGACATATTCTTGGAATTAATATCACGTATTGGACTAATCATATAGAGACCAAGTCAAGAACTGTCATTTCAACATCTTACACATTCTAATTTCATTATTTAAAATTAATTAAAAGGAGTCCATGGTTCCTAAAAAGAAGGAGTTTATGGTTTCTTTTTTCTTTTTTTTTTTTACAATGTAATTACTGCAATTAAATTAAATAAATTAATTGTTAATGTTAAAATATTATCAAAATATAAATTAATATTTGATAAAATTTAAACAATAAAACACAAGTCTTACAAAAATTTATAAAAAAAAAAAAAAAAAAAACTTTGATTCAAAATTAGAGAAAGAATTTGCTTGGTTAAAAATATTCATGACTGCAATTCTCCTACTTTTCTTTTAAATTTTGGTCAATATTCTTTAATTTACTCTAGGATTTTATGTGTTTTTCATAGAGGAGTTTTTGTGTGTTTTAAATTTATTAGATTAAGTTACAATATTTATTCAAACATATATAACCCATCATAACTTTATTAAATTTAATAATTTAGTTATAATTAAGCCAATATTCATGAATTTCTCCTACAATATTTATTCAAAAATAATTAAGGTTAAGTACAATTTCATTATGTATGTACTTTGAATTTATTTTAGTGTAGACTTTATAGTTTATTTGGTGGGTAAAATATATTTTTAAAGATAATTACTAAAATTAAAATTAAATTAATTTTAAATCAATAATCTAAAAATTAATAAATTTGATTTCCTTTTATTAGTAACAAAGATATATTCCATTCACTAATTTTAAATTAAAGAGAACCTCTTTTTTTTTTTTTTTTGAAAAAAGTAGACGATATTGAGAATAAATAAAACATATAATAATGAAGAGAAAATAAGTTGGCATATTGGAAATATCCCTGTTATGATGTAAGTAAAAGCATCAATTACAAATATAACTCGCAATGACATGTGGGGACTGCTTTCCACAAATAAAACTCAAATCGCAAGCTTAGATCTGTCTTAACTCCATTAATCTAAACCATTTATGTTTATTTTCTCTCTGCTTTTTCCAATTCTAAATCTGGTAATTTTCTTTCATCAGTCTCTCTCAAATCTCTTCATCAAACTCTTTTCCCAATCCAAAAATCTAGAGGCCCCTTCCAATTTCTTCCCCACAATGCTCCATCTCAACTCCATCTTCTTCTTCTTCTTCCTTTTCTTTTTGTTTTCTGTAACCATCTTGGCAAACCAGAAAAAAACAGAGAACCTGAGTTAAAGAAATGAACCGAATTTCCCATTTTCAAGTCTTGTAAGTTTCCACCCAGATCTTCATCTTTGAAACAAGTTCAAAGTCTGATGAAATGACAAACACCCACTTGCTAAAACTACTTCTTATACTGACTCCTGCAATTTTCTTGCTCATTCTCGCCGCTACCATCTTCTTCTACCGCAGAAGGAAAGTTCAAAACGGTGAGTACGACATAGAAAACAGAGAGCAGAAACATGAAGAAGACACGGAAAAAGAGGACCTGGTTACTTTCCTTGGAGGTGAAGACCTTACAATCTGTGACATTCTTGATGCTCCTGGTGAAGTAATAGGGAAATCCAACTACGGGACTTTGTACAAAGCGTTGTTGCAGAGGAGCAACAGTGTGAAATTGCTCAGGTTCTTGCGGCCTGTTTGTGCGGCAAGAGTTGAAGAGTTTGGTGAGTTGATTGAGTTGCTGGGAAGCGCTAGGCATCCGAATTTGGTGCCTCTTCTCGGTTATTATGCAGGCTCAAGAGGAGAGAAGCTTCTTGTTTATCCATTTTATTCGCGGGGAAATCTGGCTCAGTTCATTAGAGGTTTGTTTTCTGGTTACTGCTGATTCCTTTTTCTGTTTGGTGTTCTAGAAAGAAGGAAAGTTGAAAAAGAAGCTAATGTTGTTCCACCCAAAATGACTTCTTCCTTCTTTTTTTTTTTTTTAAAAAAAAAACAAAACTCTAAAAAAATGCATTTTATGGGCTGCTGGCTAACTTGAACTTTTCTCCTTTGAAATTCAAGATTCTCAATTGTCTTTTTCCTTTCTTATGGTATACTTTCCTTGTACCATTTTCTCAGGAATCAAACAGAAATTTGTTGGGTAGTTTCTCTCATTAGTTTTTAGATTGGTTTTCTTTTCTCTTCCTGACAAAAAGTGGGAGAATCCATTAATGGGCAGAACAGAAAGTAGAGTAATAATTACTGTAATATTGAGGCTAGGTGAAATTGATGAAGATGGAGAAAGTAAGTAATGGAGGTCAAAGACAAAAAAGTTCATGACTTTCTGAGTTGTATCATCTGGGTTCATCTCTCACATTGCCTGCTAAGTTTCCTTTGCTACAGAATCATTTATAATTATAAATTTATATGATTTTCTTTTAACTTTCAGCTTTCTAGATTTTTGAGATCCTCTGTTTTTTTGTTATGAAATAAATGATGGCTGAGCTGTAACCTGTAAGCACCCCAGCTAGCAGAATTTATGAAGAGAGAAATTCTACTGTTAACTTTTCTCTAATTTAATTTTGTTTTCTTCTTTTCCAATTCTAAATGCTAGTTTCTTTCAAATCTTCTTTTTGGCTGAATTTGTTTTGTCAAGGTATCCAAATATATAACGCATATATGTAGTTGTATATGCATATATATATATATCTTCTTCTCTGTCAGGACTACAAGATTTAGATCTCTTGTAGTGCACATAGTCAACAATAACCGATTTGTTTTTACTGCATAATCTGTCTTTGTCGGCACCTACCCTTTGTCTTTTTCTTTCCATTTCTTTATCTAGAAGAACATGGCGACAGCCAATTTTCATCTTGCAGTTGCTGCACAGAAAATGAACTAGTTAAAAAGAATGAGAACTAGAATTTTCTTACATTTCTACTTTTACTACTTGTAAGTTCTGAGTAGAAGGATTTCGTCTCTTGATTTGCAGATGGAAATGGTGAGTCGCATAAATGGACAATCATTTACAGGATCTCTATGGGCATAGCCAAAGGACTAGAGCATCTTCATACAGGATTGCAGAAGCCCATAATTCATGGGAACCTCAAGTCAAAAAATGTATTTTTGGATCGAAACCATGAGCCATGTATATCCGATTTCGGATTGCATATCCTCTTGAATCCCACAGCTGCACAGGAAATGCTGGAAACAATGGCAGCTGAGGGCTACAAAGCTCCTGAGCTGATCAAAATGAAGGATGTAAGTGAAGAGACTGACATATACAGTCTTGGAGTAATCTTGCTTGAACTGCTGTCAGGGAAGGAACCAATTAATGAGAATCCAACTCCTGATGAAGATTTCTACCTCCCAAACTTCATGAGAAATGCAGTTCTAGGTCATAGAGTCTCGGATTTATACCATCCAGACATACTGCTGAGTAACAATAAGAGTGACGAATTTGAGAATCCGGTAATGGAAGATTGCATTTTGAAATTGTTTCAGCTTGCAATGACATGTTGCTCTCCTTCTCCTTCTCTCAGACCCCACATTAAGCAAGTTCGCAGGAAACTTGAAGAGATCGGGAATAGGTGTTGGTTGGTAGCAGAACATTTTGCTTGATTGCTTCAAAGCCAACTTTTTCTACATGTCAAAATCAAATGGGTCTGTTTTGGTTGTAATGCAAATAGTGACCCAAAAAAAAAATAAAACTTTGAGTATAGCAGTGTATATGAGAAGACTTGATCATAAAAAAACTTTTTGCATTTTTGTCATCCAACTAGCAAAGTAGAATTCTTGATTTTGTTTTGTTAGATTATAAAAAAAATTTGCAGCAACTTGGTATTGTATCAAACTAGGCAATGGTAGATTTGATCAGTTGAATTATAAAAGATGCAGGACTAATTGATAAATAAACTCAAAGATTATTTTCCTTTTACTTACTGAGACGGTCATAACTAATTGTTTGCGGGTATGAGAAAGTTCTTTTAGGTTGATTAAATAGTGTTCTTAAAGCTAATTTTCCAGTTTGCTCTCGCTGAAATGTGAGTAGATTTGTTTATAAATGCATTTTAGATGATTAGTAACGGGGGAGCAGTGGTGCGTAGGTATTGAATTAATTTGGTGGATATTTAGTTTAATGATTTCTGTACTCTCTACTTATGGCTTACCAGCATGGTCAATCCTTCTTCAACATGTTCTTACTGGCTGTAAAACGTTTGATCTGTTCAATCCTTCTTTGGCATGTTCCTACTCGCTGTAAAATGTTTGATCTGTTTGAGTCACAGTCCCATATTGAAACCGAATCAGAATGCATACGGAAAGCTTTTTTGCTCAACAGGGGCTCGAATGATAAAACTTTTACTTGAAATTTCAAAACCTCAAACCAAAAACACTCAGGATGATAAATTGATGAACCAAATCAATTTTCTAAGAAAAAATAGAATCAAACACAAGCTAGGGCAGGTATGAATTGATAAGCATCAAAACATTGGAACTGTAAAGAATTTGGATCCTTAGATATTGAACTTTGAGGTGGACAAAAATCATGAAGCATCTTGAAACTCCTGTCCTTGAAGTTGTACCGTATAACCTTCTTAGGTATGTGCAGCACCAGATATGATTTCTCATCATCTTCTTCCTCCACAATACACAGTATTGAAAATGAATAGTAATGCAGGTGCATTGGATTTAGTCTTTTCATCCTCATCTCAGGATATGGAGCTACAACAGAAGATAAATCAACCTGGTATTTCGGGAACCATCCAGAGTAGTCTCTCTCCATTTCATAGACACAAAACTGGATAGTGAGGGAACCATAGATTTCGACAAGATGCAGATGGCCCCGGGATTCTCCAAAGTACCTGTTTTACCCAAATAAGATAAACCGAGCAAGCAAATAATCAAACACAATGGAGTCAAAGGATTTACACCAAAAAAGGCTCCGCTTCTACTCCTTTGAGAAAAGTCATGACATAAACCAGGAATATCTAGCAATACCTGAACCTTCTCTCACTCCATTCTTCTGGGATTAAAGGAATTGGCATTACTCGAATTTGCTCGTTGTCAACATCGAAGGACACAGAATCACTCCAATCACCAATCCAATGAACAGCACCATTCCAGAACACTGCATTCTTGAACTGTATATCAAATGGCAGAGCGAAAGGAGCACCAGAAGCTCACCAGGGCCCTGTTCTCGAGGAGTAAACCTCAATCTGAAAGTGGTTGATGGAAGTATTAGAAGCCTTGACACATAAGCTTGTAGTGAGTGACTTTGAAGGGTCAAAAGCCAAACAAACATCAAGAATGTGAGCAGAACTGCTAGCACATGGAGGAAGTACAGTGTGCTGTTTAGTTGCAGGATTATAAACATAATAGTTTGGCTCAGGCTGATTTTTGCAGGAGCAGCAACAAAGTAACAGGCCGTTGCAAGATTGGAGGATAGAT